TAAATATTATTTATTTATTTGAGAGAGAGAGAGGTGGGGGGAGAGCAGTGAGAGGGAGGAACAAACGCTCCACTGAGCAGAAAGCCAGACCTGGGGCTCAATCCTAGGACCCTGTGATCATGACCTGAGTCAGAAACAGATGCTTAACTAACTGAACCATGCAGGCACCACTCCACTTTCAACTGTTAGTCAAGGTTTCTCTCAAAGACATTCAAAATTGTATCATGCTTGGTATCTTTCTTCATGTTCCTTTTATTCTAACTCATAGGCTATAGTATATGTCCTTTTGCTGCTTCTTATTCACAAACCTAAGAAAGGTGGCAGTTGATCAATATTCATCACTAACTCATTGCCCAACTGAAATTCCGTGGTCCACAAAATAATGACTCATTCTAAATCGCCTGCAATTCCATGGTTCTATTTTCTCTCCATTCTGTTCATCTGATTAAATTCCAACTTAGGGAAACTTAATTGTTTCTTTGTTCTGTCCTACACTGAAACTGCTTAGTGCAATTAGAGAAAACCTCTCAGCATGCCATTGTCTGTTGCTGATCTTGTGTCATACTTCTTCCTCCAAAATAAAAACAATTAAATAAGATTATCCCCATCTTACCATCTATAATCTTTATACACATACTTTGGTTCCCATTTATCATATGGATAATGTGTCCCTTGCTTCTTTCACACCTTTGCAGCTTTCCATGAATTTTAGTTCAGAAATCAGATATCTACTCTCCCCGAGCACCGGTTTCTCAAACTATTGTAGTGTTCTCATTTGTATATAAACATCATCTATATCACCCTTCTTAAAAATTTCTTTGGCTGAAAGTCCTGTCCAGTCATCAACCTATTTCTCTGCTCTATTTACAACGAATCTTTCAAAAGAACTACCTCTGATCTTTGTCCTTATTTCCTCAAATCCCATTACATGTTCTAGTTGTATTTCTGTGTCACTTCTCCATTGAACCCAATCTTGTCATGGACACATGACAGTTTAACATTATTGCCTCTAAAGATTGCTCTTCTACCATACTCGTACTTGGTATCTCAAAAGGATTTCCCATGATTAATTCCTTCAACTACCCCCCAAAACACACATTTTAAGATTTCTATGTCACTTCAGTCTTCTGATTTTCCTTCTCCTTCTGCTGCCACTTTTCCCCAGGTAACTGTGATAGCTTTTCCTCCTCCTCCTCAGGCTGTTCTCCAAATCTTGGAGCCAAAGGCTTAATCCTATATATTAGTTCATGGTACTTTGGTTCTCCATCTGTACCCACTTCTTAGATGATCTGAGAGATATGCAATGATTCCAAAATCCACATGTCTAACCCTGACTTCTTCCTTGGGTTCCAGATTCATACATTGAATTGACAACCTGGTATCTAGGAACTCTGGACACATGAAAGGATTACAAAATTAGCTTCCTCCACTTAGTTATCATACTCAAACATCTATCGAATGATCACACCTTTTGTACTATGAGGGCGGTCTGTATCTTAGCATCACACCTATGTGTTATTGACCTTAAAATATCCCTTTTCACGTTGTGTTATAAATTGTATCTTTTGCCATATACCCTGTTCATGTTTAAAATAAGAAAATAGACACCCTTTATATCTTTACCCATCATCCATTCAGAGATTATTCATAAATATACAAAACCCTGCATACATTTAATGTCTATAATTGTTGCATTTGGACATACACATACTTCAATAAAACTGGTGAACTACTAATGGAAAAACCAGCATATAACCTGTACTGGAGATTTAGCAGGTAAAAAATTAAAATTTCTGATCTCCTGAAACTTCTTCCCATCTCCTTGTATTTGAGTGAAGACTTTACTGTCTATACCAAATATCCTTGTGTGTGTATAGAGCTGTTAGATGTGTGTGTGTGTGTGTGTGTGTGTGTGTGTGTGTTTGGCATGGGTAGAGTGGTGTTTTGAAGAATAGTAACGCAGGCAATAGAGTAGGGAATGGTAGCATCAGACCCAGGCTTTCTGTGGAAATGACAGTTGAGAAGGACTGACTAAAGATAATATCATCTGAATGTCTGTGGAAGTGCATTCCAGGTATAGTTATAGTAAATATAAAGGCCCTGAGGCAAGATCTCCCCTGGTTTGTTAAAAGAATAGTAAGGAGACAACATATATGTGGGTTGACATGAACAAATGAAAGAAGGAAAAGAATTGCAATCAAGGTGTTTGGGGAGGAGTGACTGATCAAATAAGTCTGGTAGTTCATGAATAGGCTTTGGACTTTACTTTTCCCTATCATCTTGCAATAGCCATCCAACCCCAACTCCAGAATGCAAGCTGCATGAAGTAATAAATGAGATCAATGTTTTGGCTACTTGACCAGTACCAAGGATAGTTGTATGCTCCATAACACAAGTCTAGTAAATCATTTGTTGAATTACTCAGTTAATGCACTGAGAGCCATATTCTAGTAGAAATGAATAGGAATCACATTTTAATGGAATTCTGAAGTTTGGGAGCAGGATCTCATCAATCTCATACATTTAATTCAATGTTATGCTCAATGGAGTCTCAAGACCATGAAATAGTTTTTGTACCTCCCTAAATGCCTGTTACTCTCCAGGGTATAAGTGGTTCACTGGGGAGAAAATAGTTCAATTACCTCAGCGGAAAATAAATGCATGTTTTAATTTTGGATTAACACATTTCAAGCTTTAGATTTTTAGTGTTTTGCAGAGACAAAATCTCAAGAGGAGCATCACAGACTTAATAAGGCTGACTGTTTCAGATTCAGAAGCAGCATTTGCTACTCTTTGTTGAATTAATTAACCATGTCTTAATTCTGTCATACTTGGATCTCTTCTACCACTTCCATTTTCATTGCATTGTAAGACAGAAATCTTGTGTTCTTCCAAAAAGCAATAAGACAAAACTAAACTAATAACCACTACAGGTGAATATTAAGAACAAAGGTAAGAAGATTTAATTGATCTCAAAGTGTTCATATATAGAAAGTTTCCAAGAAGACTAAAAAAGTATAAAGTAATTAAAGATCTCCATTAGGATATGTCTGAAACACTAAATTTAAGGTTCCCAACTAAACTAATTTGGATTTTTGTCTTTATATGACATGGATTTAGGATCACTAATAACAAATGAGAATTTTATAGAATATTCAGCATATACAGACACATACATACATGAATGTATATATACATGTATATCTATGTGTGTATATATGTGTGTATATATATACACACACATGCATACATATACATATACACATATGTGTCTGTGTGCAAAACAGGGAATTTTAGTGAACTTTTTGTAGCAAGAATGCCATATATAATACAAGTACGTTTGTATATATATATATGCATAAAATTGAGCTCTACAAAATTTTAAAATTGGTTATTTTACAGGGTAAAGTTTTAGCTAATTTTGAAGATAGATCCATTAAGAAACTATTGCAGTAATCTAGGTGAAAGATAATGTTGGCTTGATTTTTAGTAGGAATGGAAGTGGTAGGACGTGGTTGATACAGATATTTTGAAGGTAGAGCCAACATAATTATCTGATAGACTGGTAATATAGTGTGTAAGAAAGAGAAGAGATCAAATTCTTCAATATTTATCTATTTATTTAATTTCATCTGGGCAAATGAAAGTATAGAGTTGTAATTAACTTGAGATAAGGAATGCCGTGTTTGGTGCAAATTAGGGTCATGCATGAGGAATTCAGCTTTGGGTCATGCTGAACTGTTGTTTGATATTAATATGAAGATGTGAGTAAGCGGTTGAATTTTAAGTCTGGAATTTGTAGAAAAGGTCAGGGCTGGAGATATAAATTTAGGAGTTTTAGGTGTATAGATGGTAATTAAATTTACAAAATCAAATAATCAGCAAGGTAGAGTGTGAAGAGGAAAGGAGAAAGGTTAAGGACTGAGCTACCCTAACCTTAACAGTCTGAGAGAAGAGGAGGAGTAAGCAGAGACTGAGAAGGAGGGACCCACATGGTAGGAGGAAAACTCAGAGTCTGGTTTCTTGGAAGATAAGAAGAGAAAATCTTTCAAGGAATAGTTAGGAAATCAACTCTGTCAAATGTTATTGATAGATCAAAAAGATGGGGAATGAGAACTGACCAGGGGATTTGGCAATGTAAAGATTCCTGATGCCTTAGACAAGAGACATTTTGTGGAACGACAGGTTGCAAACCTGATCAGAGTGGCCTTGAGAGAAAACAGGCAGAGCAGAACTGCATACAGCAAGGGTATTCAACTGTATTGTATATTTTATTGCCAAGATGAGTGCGAGGAATTGGATCGTAGGATGTGAAGGCAGTAGGACAAAGGGAGGAGGAGAGAAAAGTTGGGAGGTCAGGTAGGATATAGACAAATAGGGTCAATCATCAAAGACTTCACACCAATAAACACACACACACACATATATTAATTTTAAATAAAATGGGTTACTGAGTTTGCTTAAGGAATTTCTTTCCACTGCCATAAGAAAATAAAGAGCTTTAATACACATATTCTTGGGGCATTCAAAGAGATAATCTTACTTATAGCAGAGATGAAACTATTTTACTTTCCTGGTATTTTTTTCTTTGTCCAATTTATTCCTTTGGTTTCTTTCTTATCCTAGCAAAAGAATCATCCATTCTGAGACAAAGATATGAACAGCCATACAACAGTGACTGAATTTATTCTTGTGGGATTTGGGGATCATCCAGAACTACAGTGCCTTCTTTTTATGGTGTTTCTAGTCATCTATATGATCACCGTGTTTGGAAATCTTGGCATGATCCTGTTAATCAAGATTGACTCACGCCTCCACACTCCAAGTACTTTTTCCTCAGTAACTTGTCCCTTGTTGACTTCTGTTATTCTTCCGTCATTACCCCTAATATGCTAGTGAATTTCTGGGTGGAGAATCCAGTCACTTCATTTAGCAGCTGTGCCACTCAATTCTTCTTTTTTAGTTCCTTTGCTGGCATTGAGGGTTTCCTGTTGGCTGTGATGGCCTATGACCGTTATGTGGCCATCTGCAAGCCTCTTCTTTACACCGTTACTATGTCCCCTCATCCTAATGTCCTTCTGGTGTTGGTCACATATCTTGCAGGCTTTCTGAATGCTGCCATTCACACTGGCTTCACCTTTCAGTTGTCTTTCTGCCACACAAATGTCATCAACCACTTTTTCTGCGACACTCCGCCCCTCCTGAAACTCTCTTGTTCGAATACACATGTTAATGAAGTAGTCATTTTTGCTTTTGCCAGTTTTAATGAACTGAGCTGCCTCCTGATTATTCTCATTTCTTATCTGTACATTCTTGTTGCCATCTTGAGGATCCATTCTGCTGAAGGAAGGCACAAAGCCTTCTCCACCTGTGCTTCACATCTGATGGTGGTCACTATCTTCTTTGGCACAATTCTGTTCATGTATCTGCGCCCCAGCACCAGCTATGCAATGGACTGAGACAAAGTGGTATCCGTGTTTTATACAGTGATTATCCTCATGTTAAATCCTCTCATCTATAGTCTGAGAAACAAGGAGGTCAAAACTTCCTTAGGTAAAATTTTTAAAACAACCTCTTTTTACTTCTGTGCTTAGAATTAGGAAAAGAATGAGATTTTAGGACTCTGGGGGAAACATAGAAATGACCAAATCCACTTCCATTCACCCTGGGTCTATTTCACTGCATCATGAGTTTTGTTATTGTTGTTTTTGATAGTGGAGATGGACCAAGCATCTTGGCAACCTGGGGAATGTGGTGACTCTGTGTAAATCCCACTAATTCCACAAAACATATATGCTTGAAAATAATCAAAGATCACATTTTAACTCCCTGCTCAGAGGCATAAGACACAGTATAAAAAGTGGATGAGAATACAAGAGGAAAGACTCCATCTTTTTCCCCATTTGATGGCTTCATGATTGAATTGTGGTATATGTAAACTGCTAGAGGACAGGTGATAAGGAGTAGGCTGACCCAGAGGACCCAAATAGTGCTTAGAGACTGCTTCTTATCCTCAGTGAACCAGGAAAAAAAAAATCAGAACTTAATCCTGACAGAGGTGCTGAAGTTAAGCATTTCCCCTTCCTTCCTTTCTTTCTTTCTTTCTTTCTTTCTTTCTTTCTTTCTTTCTTTCTTTCTTTCTTTCTTTCTTTCTTTTCTTTCTTTCTTTCTCTTTCTTTCTTACTTTCTTTCTTTCTTTCTTTTTCTTTCTTCTTTCTTTCTTTCCTCTCTTTTCTTTCTTATTTAGATTTATTTATTTATTTTGAGAAAGAGAGAGAGAGAGAGAATGAGCAGGAGGGACAGAGAGATAAGAAGAGAGAATCTCAAGCAGACTCCATGCTGAGCATAGAGCCAACATGGGGCTCAATTTCATGACCCTAAGATCATGACCTGAGTTGAAACCAAGAGTGGGACACTTAACTGACTGTACCACCTAGGTGCCCCCCATGTCAAGTATTTCTAACCTGGACAAGTAATCTGGATCCCTGAGGGAACAAGTGATAATACGAGCAGGGATCATAGAACAAGAACACCAAGGATCTGTATAGCAGAGGTTTCTGAATTTAGAAAAGAGGTATACCTTATAAATCCTGTAGTTAAAGTGTCATGTTGTTTGATTTTTGAATGGGTAAACAGTTTAAGCTTAAAAAGCTAGAGCAAGATAGATAGACTTTGCCTAGTGCCTTAGCAAACAATCATACATATATGTTTTAACACTGGCAGCAATTTCATTGGGATATATTTAAAGCTTTCAGTTGGTTTGACTGGTATTTTCTTCATTGAGATATCTCCACAGTAGGACTGGATTTTCTTTATAGTGATGACTGACATGTAAACATGAAGTGTTTCAAACTATTTGGAACTGGGTAAAGTATACTAAGTGTGACCCTGTTGTACCAATTTGCTGTGGAAAGACTGTGATCACAATAGAAAAGTGGGCACTTAAGACGAAAAAATAGTTTTTGCTTTCATTACAGCATAGAGTTTTTGATAAGAAACTGAATCCAAATCTTATCCTTTTATCTTCCTTTATTCTTTATTTCAGACATTGCATAACAAAAACACATTTTCTATCTCATCATTCTTTTTCTGGAGAGCTCTTCATAGTTCAAGACACAGCACAAATATTACCTCCTTTACGATTGCCCTGACCCTCTGTCATCCTTCCCAAGGTAGACACTTAACATGCCCATTCTTGTGATTCTATAGATATTGCAGCTCTAATCAAGGTCTAATCAAGTGGTTAGAGAAAGAAATTGTAAAAATACAGTGTAATATATAGAGATTAGGGGTACCTGGGTGGCTCAGTAGGTTAAGTGGCTGACTCCTGGTTTTAGCTCAAGTTGTGATCTCAGGACCGTGAGATTGAACCCGATACCAGCCCCCATGCTAATTGGGGAGTTTGCTTAAAGATTCTCACTCTCACTCTCTCTCTCTGTCTCTCCCTTTGTCCCTGTTCTTGCTCACTCTCACTCTCAAATAAATAAATAAATCTTAAAAAAAGACACATAGACTAAGAGGTCCTTAAGAAGCAAAAGCTCTTTATATCAACCTACACATCTCCATGCCTTTATAAGCAGGCTGTCAGGAAAAATTTAAAAAATTAAGAAGGAGATCATTCCAACTGAAGACACAGGGTGATGGAAGACAAAATGTCTTCTGGCATCTGGAACTAAAAGTTGTCTAGAACCACCATTCTAGAAAGTCAGTGTTAGAAAAGTTCCCTGGTAGCTGGTTGGATGAAGTACTGGATATCGTTTCATTCTTTTTGAAACAAATTGTCTTGTCTTCTTTGAATTTAAACATTTTAATACCATGATATTTCAGCATCCTATATCTTTCATATTATGTAAAGTAAATGTGATTTCAGTACAGCAATAGAGCACTCAGGACTTTTTCAATGGAGGAACACAAAGCTAATTCAAACTAACCCAGGCCTAGCTCAGTGCCATGAGGTCTCCGTGTTTTTTTTTTTTCTATCTCTCCTTCTGTCTGTCTGTTGTTTCCTCTGTCATACTAGGAATTCACTCATTGTCTTGCACAGACTTTTTGCATGGTGGCCTCAATTTTACATACTTTCAAGACAATTGGATTACAGGCAAGGCTGTATCTCTTTAGAAAGGACAGTATTGCCTGCAATGGCTCAGATACTCATCATGTGTATAGCAAGCTGGGTATGTATGTATTTGTGTATGTGTGTGTATGTTGGAAGTAAGGGTGGAGTTATGAAATATCAGAAGAAATCTTGCTTTATAATAGCTAGTGCAGTCCACTGTACATTTACTCAGTATAATTAAATTCCTTGCCTACTTACTGCTCATTTACGGACTCCTAGTTTAGGAATTGGCACTTTATGCTGCTTACACCTCAACAGGAATGTTAAAACTAGTGTTAACTTTAATAGTAGATGGGTCAGATGTTTTCCCATGTGATGCCTTTTGTGGATTCCTACATATTTTCTACCGTGCCTATCACAGCACATGGAAGTCTGCTTGTAGAAAAATACAAGTATGTGCAGTGTTTTTAAAAGTACACTGGTTGCAATGATGAGTAATATTATTATATTGAAAATGATTGATTTGAGCTTACTTTTCACATAATGAAATGATCAGGGTCCCCTCAACTAAGAGTATTAAAGTTACTACATTTTGGCTTACTTAGCCTGCTGACCACTACTTATTCTAATATATTTAAAAACAAATCCCAGAAGTCAGAAGCTTCTTAGTATAGTTTGTGATAGTTACACATGAATGTTTGGATTAGACTAGCAGCCAGGCTCTCCTTATGGGGTAGAGGATCAGGAAAAAAAACCAAACAGTAACAAAAACAAACAAACAAACAAACAAAAAACAGGCCACAAGGCAGTACAGACACAGCACCTTTAGGGCAAAACTTAAAATGCAGCTTTTGCTCCTTTGGTTTTTCTATAGTTTCTAGATTTGAGGGTTTTATCTGCTTTCCCTTTTCTGCTTTTGTCAGATTGTATATAAACATATAAACATCATCCTTTACTATACTGATCATTCAGTGTACTTGATTTTCTAAGAATATGCAATTTGTGATGATGGGATTTCAAAAAGTAAATGGTCCCAGCAGGCCTGGTAAAAACTCTTTGGGCCCCTATTGCATAGAGAAAGCCCAAAAGTGGTTGCCTTGACAATCCCTATTCACTACTGAGAATTCTTCATTTAACCACTTCTCATCCTTCTCTCTTTTTCATTCCCCACATGGCTTTTCCTCCCAGGCTTCAGTGACAATAGAAACGAAGACAAGAGAAGAACTAATAGATAAGCCATATAGCTTTCTGACTTCCATGGTTGATAATAACTGTTTAAAAAATTTCTACTAAAGAATGAGTTTGAGGAAAACCTTAGCCCTCAGTGCTTAAATTTTTGCTCTGCATGTTAATCTATAGCATATAATTACAGTATAAAAGAGCTCTTATAACATTGTACTCCAGAATTAACAGTAAATAATTTGATTTGCTGGACTCCGAGGAAGGCACAATTTAAAATGTAGAAATTTTAAATGTAAAGCCCAATGTAGTCTGATCAACGTGTACAGCCAGGTAGTCCTAATTCCAGTTTTCAAGGTTCCTATATAACTAGGGAAAGTGTGTGGGAATAGAGCAAGTAGAAATGCCACAAACTTCACCCTTCTTAGCAGGATTCCCTGCCATTTTCCTGGGATTGCTGCAAGCCTTTGGTTAATTCCCAGAATTCTGAAAAAGTTGACTTAGATATCTTTGCCAGTGTTCTTTTTTCTTCTTCTTCTTCTTCTTTTTTTAATCTTACGGTTTCAATTCTTTTATTTATTTATTTATTTATTTTTATTTTCAGTGTAACAGTATTCATTGTTTATGCACCACACTCAGTGCTCCATGCAATCCGTGCCCTCTCCAATACCTATCACTTGGTTCCCCCAACCTCCCAACCCCCGCCCCTTCAAAACCCTCAGGCTGTTTTTCAGAGTCTATAGTCTCTCATGGTTCACCTCTCCGTCCAATTTCCCTCAACTGCCTTCTCCTCTCTAACTCCCTTTGTCCTCCATGCTATTTGTTATGCTCCACAAATAAGTGAAACCATATGATAATTGACTTTTTTTCTTTTATGGAGGAGACTTTACTCTACCATCCTGGAAGTTGATCCTGTACCCCCCAACCCCCTATCTAAAATGTTTCTGAGATTCATTTACATGTATGAGTACTATGTTCATTTTTATTTTTGTGCAGTGTTCCACTCTATGGACATATATATCTATGCATCTGCCAATACACATTTGAGCTTAATTGAGGGCATGTATTCTCTTTTGTCCCAGATACATAGTTGAGAGTGGAATTGCTGGGTCATAGTTTTGTAAGAAGGTATAACTTTCTAAGAAATTTTATAAGAAATAACCAGTTTTCTAAAGTAGTTAAAATTATTTTACATTCTGTCAAGTGGTATATTATTGAGTAAGG